CGCTCGTGTTGTTGCCACTTTGTTAAGAAATTCCTCTGAAATTCGTCTGAAGACGTCTTGCATACACATGCAAGCAGGCTTCAATGAGACTCGCTGAGGCCCTTTCGAATAGTGATGTGTTCTCCAAGATGTGTCTGTTGGCTGCGACTCTCCCAACATATCAGCCTCAATATTGTCCCCTACCCACGAACAGCTTTGCATCTCCCACTTCCAACTAACCACCCCAGTACTGTCTCGATCCCAATCCTCATTTCTTGCCCTTCTTCTTCTTCTTTCCACCTCCAGCAGCCTGGGGTTTCTCCACAGGCGTCGCCGCGCCGGCCGGCGTGTCCTCCCCACCCGCATCGGCCATCGGCTCGTCCTTGTTTGCGGCGGCGGCGTCCAATGTTGCCGGTTTCGAGGTGGACATTGTGCGGCCCAGGGCGCCGAGGCAGGTGATGAGGCGGGAGACCTCGGCGGCCTTTGTGGTGCGGTATTTGAGGGCCACGCCGCTGACCGGGTCGAAGGTCTTGATGACGAGGGAGCCGCGCGGGGGTTTGGCGTCTGTCATGGCTGCATCTTCTGCGGGTGCTGCGGCGGAGGCGTCCTCCGAGGTCTTGGTCTTTCGGGGTTTGACTGCTTTGATGGAGTACTTTGTTGTGATTCTAGTCTGTTTGGGGTGCTGGAGGTTAGCCGCCGCTACGTTTTCCCTCGTCCAAGGTTGGCAGATGAGTTGCTAGTATGCGGGTCAGGCTTACGGTAGTCGGACGGGCCTGGAGGAGCAGAGACGACTGCTCCAGCCATTCCTGGCTGGTCTTGTAGGTCGGCATTGCGATGTGACGGTAGTGATGGGGGTGGAGAGAGGAGAAAAGGCCACGGCCTTGCGCGGTGGTCCGGTCTGTATGCGCGTCCTTGGGAGGTGTCGTCGGTAGCTGAGCGCCTGAGAAATGGCGATCCGAGTCTCTCGAGGAGGTAGGTTCGAGGAGTGTTCGCTAGGGTGTCGTGCGCGCCGTGGTGGTCGGAGTGACGTTGGGTGTCGTCGAGGTGGCCTGGCTTTGGTGGAGGACGCAATTTTGGTGGGGTTCGGCCATCCCAAGTTGAGGTACCCCGACCTTGCATGCCTGGCGAGGGGCAAGTTTAAGCCGCACACTAGGACTGTCACCCCAAGCTCCAATACTTCACCATTCTAACATGCATATTTTCAAGACAAGATGATAACCAGTGATTTCCCAAGGTTTCAACAAAATTCATTCATGTCGACTTTCCTCAACGGGTTGGGGTATCTCGTATCCTAGACTCCGAAAGTAATTGACCCCTCCAGACCGCCATTTCGCAGCTTCTAAATTTCCTACATTGATGCTCCGACCGCTTCATGCATGAGGATCGGGCACCCAGAACATCACATCTTGATCTGCCGTCGCAAAGAAGTTGTACCGCGGGTTGAATGCTAACACCGCTGCCTCTCGCTTTTCCTCCAATACCCATGTAGCGTCGAGGGTCTTGTTCTCGTTCTGGGGCGGTGTCAAGATATCCCAGACCAGGACATCCTTTGGACCACCGCTCAGAACGTAACGACCGTCCACAGAGAAGCAGCAATCACCGCTGCTCTCGATTGTGGGCTGGTCCGCCTTCGGCATACTGCCGTTGATGGTGCTTGATGTCTCACCAGCCGCCAGCCGCCGGGTTCCGCCCTCGGGCTTACGCAGGTACGCCTTCAAGCTCCCGTCGAAAGCATCGAGTATGAAGTGGCCGGGGCCGCGAGTGCCGACGAGTATATGCTTGCCGTCGTTCGAAAATTCCAGCTTTGTCCAACCCCTGACTACGAACTGTGAGTCCACGTGTCTGCCGGCATCAACGACATCGAAGGTCGCAAATGGCGCCTTGTCGTAGTTGCGGCAGTCATATAGCAGAACGCTTCCGCTGTTCGTACACGCGACAGCAAAAGTCTGCCCCGACGGATCGTATGCGGTGAGATACGGAGAGTTGAGGTTCAGTTGACCGCACCATTGCTTCGTCGAAATATTCCAAAGGCGCACAGTATTGTCTTGGCTACAAGAGATGAAGTTATCAGCGCCTGGGTGTATGGCAATATCTGTGACGCTCTTTTCGTGGCCCTCGAAGTATCGGATGAAGGAATTATCGTGGGTAGCCAAATATCGGATCTGATCTGGTAGACGTTAGCCATTGTGCGGCGGGTTGAGCATAAGAGCGCCTACCATTCTGCTTCGTACTCGCGTAGATGATGCTGGAGCTCGTATGCGTGAACTTTGCCAGCTTGACGCCGTACTTCTTGCTTAGCAAATTCTTCTTGTGTATGCCTTCCTTTACGCTGTAAATCTGAATCGTCTCGTCGCTCTCAGAGGTCATGAGAAGTTCGCCTGGGTCGTCGAAGTCGAGTGACAGCACGTGAGGTTGCGGACGGCCATCCTTGATGTCTTGCCTTTTGAAAAGCTGGAAACTAATCAGTCAGAGAGCTCCCTAGACGGTTTTTGGGCACTCCTTGCCTTTGTTGGGCGAAATGACGATATGACTTCGCTCAAAGGGGTAGTATTGTTGGTTGTCAGAGACCGCGTAATGTTGAGCGAATTTCCGTTAGCTGGAGTCGACTCGCGATGGTCCAAGTCCATAGGCGTTGAAGCCATGATGGGTTCCTTGAGGATTTCGAGAGCTATACTGGCTGAGTCGAACAGCGACACCTCAAATGATGCTGTCGCGAGCCGTAAGTAAACGACCCGTCGCAAAAGGAAACTTGAGGCTGTGCGGCAAACTCGGCAGAACTCGGCAAGTTCCTTCAAAGTATGTGTGAATAAGTGCAGTCGTCCTGAGGTTGCTGGTATGAATCATGTGAACGGGAAGTCAGACCGCGTCTTGTCATGCGATGCGACTGGAGGAAACCAAAGAGCTTCCCCAATTCATTTCGCGGGGTTGTGGTAATGGGAGAGCTGACTGTGCCACAGTTTTTAGACCACCCCTGGCGTGTTCGAGATCGGTTCTCAGCCACACCTTGTAATTGCCAGCCTCCCATCGTTGACAATGCACGACTTCGCATTGGAAACTGGCGTCCGGCAATGGGCCAGCTAAATTGACGCCCCCCTTTTTGGTCAAGGTCTGGGGTACCGAATACCGACTTAGGCCGCTGTGGCCCGCGAACCCTGCCAATTGGGACCTACAGACGCCGGGATCGGCAATGGCTATCCACGGCCATATTGACTTTGAGCAAGAAAAATCCCAATTTCTCTTCCGCGCGCGGAGCTTACTGAGAGACCTGTAGACCTGTAGCCCCGGTAAAAGGGTCAATCCAGTCACGTCGGCCCAGTGCCAGCCCGACGGAACTCAAGCCATATCGCAGTCATATCGCCAACTTCCTCTCTTGAGTTGCGCGCATTACGGCGAACGGGTTCTCGACCAGTAGGCTATGTAAGAATCTGCTCAGGAATTTGCATTTGTCGATGTTGACTGGCTATCGACTTGCCACGACGTCAATGTTGCTGACCCGCGCTGTTCCGTCATTTTAGGTACTAGCATTCCGAGATCGCGGTGTCACTCTTTTCTCTTTCTCTCTCTCTCCTTCCAAACGAACCCCGACTATCATAGGAGTCGCAACCACAAATTACCAGCATCTTACACATCGACGATATTCAATTATTTCTTATCGCTGCGACAAGACCGATTGACACAATGTCAACAACCCTTGGGCAAGTCATGGCCCGCAGTTCGGCATCCGCAAGACCAGCGAAGCTAACCTTCGCAACAGCGCCTTCATCGCCGGCGGCATTGCCGCCTGCGGCGCTGTAACGGCCACGCATCCTTTCGAGACTGTCAAGATCCGGTGCGTCTGATAGCGACGACGCTCGCTCCTTTCCCGCACCCTGCCGCCGGCAACGCGCTGACCCCTCCCCCCGACGTGTGCAGAATGCAGTTGCAAGGAGAATTGAAGGACAAGGGACACCAGCCGCATCAGTACAGAGGCCCTCTGCAGGGTGTCTCCGTTATCGTGCGTAATGAGGGCGTGAAAGGAATCTACCGCGGTATCGGCTGCGCGTACATCTACCAGGTCCTGCTGAACGGATGTCGTCTTGGATTCTACGAGCCAATGCGCGAAACCCTGTCGACTCTCATCTTCAAGGACGGCAAGACGCAGAGTCTGGGCATCAACATGGCTTGCGGTGCTGGATCAGGAATCATGGGTGCCGCCGCTGGCAGCCCTTTCTTCCTTGTCAAGACACGGTTACAAAGCTACTCTCCCTTCATGCCCACTGGCACACAACACAAGTACCGCAATGCTTGGAACGGTATGACCTCAATTTACGGCGCCGAAGGCATTCGGGGACTCTACCGTGGTGTTGGTGCGGCCATGATCAGGACGGGTTTCGGTAGCTCTGTGCAACTTCCCACCTACTTCTTCGCCAAGCGGAGACTGGTCCGCCACTTGGGTATGGAAGAGGGTCTGCCTCTGCATCTTGCTAGCAGTACCGTCAGTGGTTTCGTCGTTTGCTGCGTGATGCACCCTCCTGGTAAGTCTCAACTCAAGATTCCCCCAAGCATAGTTCTGTACTAATCCTCATGGCAGACACCATCATGTCTCGCCTTTACAACCAAAACGGAAACCTCTACAAGGGTGTCTTCGACTGCCTGGCCAAGACTGTCCGCACTGAAGGCTTCTTGGCTATTTACAAGGGTTTCCTGCCTCACTTGGCTAGAATCCTGCCCCACACCATCCTTACCCTGACCCTGGCGGAACAGACAAACAAGCTGATGAGAAAGCTCGAAGACCGCATCCTGCCTTCGGCCACCATCCAGACCCCGTGATCAACCATTGATCTTGTACCTATTAAATCAGCGTTCCTTGCATATATGGAGTTAAAAATGAGCTGGGTAGACGGGGTGGGAATGTCGCGAGCCGATGATGGGCTTCTAGAGAACATATTGGGGGGTTGGCTAGGAATGTAGTGAGGCAGAATAGGGTCACGCCAGACAGGCTGGCCGGTAAAGGTGCTTTGAACGCGCATTCTCTATTCGATCTATCCATATATAGACCGTTCGCATCCATAACATAGTTTCCCTGCGGTGCGCTTCCTGCTGTCGTCAATATCCTCTCCTATCTCACCCTTCCAGCGAGCATCTCCTTGTGCGTCCACATCCATGCCGCAGACCGCGCACGCATCGCCGTCACTCTCTCGTGTCAATTTGCCACTGGTGCGAACGACGTTGGCGACGACGGAGGGATAACTCTCCTCCACTTCCTCAAAGTACCGCGCCATGACATCCTCGATGCTGAGCTCCTTGTGCGAGACGACAGCGTTGCTGCTTGGTCCCACTTCCTGGGCAAGATCCTTCAAAGACGGTATCAGGCCCGCATACGTGATGACCTCTCGCCTGAAAACGTCTCGAAGAAGGTAGTACACTGGAAGCATCGTCTTCTCCGTCCCTCGGACAGCCCCCTCGCCGCCCTCCGCGCTCTGCCCCTCCCCAACATGGGACAATGTCGTGACGGGAACGGGACCGTCGGCGACCTGCCACGGCACGGCGAACCCGCGGCCCTTGGCCGTCTCGGCGAGCGTCAGCTCGGCCAGGGCGGTCGTGGTGCATCCCAGCAGCAGCGCGTGGCACTCCCTCTCCACGGCCAGCGACAGCAGCAGATTCCGCACCAGGAGCCTCGTGATGTCCACCCGCGACGTGACGGACGGCAGGGCCTCGAGGAGGCCGCTGAGCTGCTGCGCGGGCGCGAGCCCGGGTTGCAGGGCGGGGAGGACGGACCAGTCTATCGTATCCAGCTTGAGGGCGTCGGCCAGCGGGACGATCTGCATCGAGAGGTTGGGGAACTGCTCCTTGTACTTTTCAAAGAGCAGGCTTGCCGACGACGACGAGATCGCGGCGTCTGCGGCGTTTGACAGGTCGGTGTCTATGTGGACGACGTGCACCTCATACGCGACGCGCAGGTTCTTGTCCTTGAGACCTTGGAGGTTCTTGTCGAGCACCTGAACCAAGGAGGCCGACGAGGGGCCGAGGGAGAGGCCGAGGAGATACTTTGCTCTTGCGTCGGGGGTAGTGCCCAGCTTGTCCTTTACATCGCGGTATGGCTGGGCGAGGCGCTTCACGACTCTTTGGACGATATGCTGTTCATAGCAAGTCCTGTGCGTGTTGGTTAACTCTGTATAATCTGAGCCTAGAGAATGTACATGTGAGAATACTTACTCGCAAAGAGGATCCTTTCTCACTTTCAAGACAGTCGGTGTCTTGCATCGCCTACATGGGCGAGGTTCCGTGTTGCTGCTCATGACGGCGGGTCGGGCCGCAATGAGTGACGTCAAAGTGCTAGGGCGGGGCAGGTGTGGTTATTGAGTTTTAAAGGAGTCAAATTCAGACTGTTCTCGAATATGAGTATTGTATACTTTATTATGGCCTCATAAGTGTCCAAGGGGATGTTGCAGTACTTTGTTGTCGATGATGAAAAGTGAGAGAAAGGTTCCGCCACCAAAGTTGACTCAGACTCATACTTTCTTTGGTGTATGTAATTTGAAATTTTTTGGGCTGAACCATCCTTCTCCATCACCCCCGCGAAAATTACCCAACATCTATTGAAGTCAATAAATGAAGCAAGCATACTGGAACTTTTCAAATAGACGTTTTCCATTCATTAGATCAAGGTATTTTCAAGTTCATCATGTTTTAGGCAACCGACGTCGTTCTCATCTGTTCATGCACATCCTTTCCCGCCGAGGAAAACAGCGTTCAACCTTCCGTAATGAAAAATGAGGAAGAAGACGATGTCCTATATACCTACAAGATGTTATATCATATGTCTTCGTGCTCGAACAACAAAACTAGCGTCAACTGAAATCGATTTCCATCGTACAGAACTAAGTAACCTGTCACGTCACAACGAGATTCTAGTTGAATGCAACTCGGGCTTATGAAAAGACGCAGCCTAGGAGATGCTTTTCAAAGAATCCGCGGTCCTTCGCCCAAGCATTCTTCAAAATGTCCCTGCCCTCAGTCGCCACTGCCCTCGCTTGGTCTTGCGATCCCCAGCCCTGTACTGTTGTGCCAAACCCGATGAGATGAACGGCAACATGAAGTAGTGTCCGGAACGCAAAGTCGTCATCCACTGCACCGTAGCCGTTAACGAAACCTTGGATCAACCAGATTCCCGCTTCCATGTCTTTGTATAGCTTCAATTCGTATAGTTCCGCAATCATCTGGCCTAGGTCAAGAGGTTTGACTGCAAGTTGGCACATCTCCCAATCGACGACAAGAAGGCAGCTATGTTCGTCGTCCCAAGGTTTCCCTTCTAGAAGAATGCTAATAAATTGTTAGTAGCATGATTAGAATGTAAATGATTGGGGCAGCTTACTTTCCGGTCCAAAAGTCGCCGTGGATGACCTGCAGGGCTTTCTCATTTACCATTTCCTCCTTTACGCTGTCCACGATGTCTGCAAAGATATCATTACAACCCCCTAGAATATCCGGGAATCGCTTGATGGAACTGGGGAGCCGTTCATAGTTCATCCATCGCTTCAGCGTTTGCATTTCCTTATTTCCCGCTGCGATATCGCGAAACTTGAGCTGATGTTCCGAGTTGCTCCAGTCATGAAATGACCGGAGCCACGCACCCACAGCCGTACCAATTTCGAGGGATAGTGACTTGACTGATTCTAGAGTTGATGTCTTCAGAGTTGGCGCCTCCAGGGTTGACGCTGCGAAGTACTCAATTGCATAGTTCTTGAGGCTGAGTGGGCTTGGCTGGTACGCTTGAACCTGGGTATTGGTCTCTTCATTGAAGTAGAACAGCTTCGGAGTTGCTACGGTGATCTTCTCGCTGGTGTGTGGTGAAAGGGCTGAAAGGTCTTTCAAACAGCTCTCTTCGATCCGCTGCCTGAGGTCAGCCATTGATGTCCTCCTGGTCGAAGATATAGGGACTCACGCATCTTGACGTGGGGAGTTCGAAATCGGGACTCTGGGCCACGAAACCCTCGCCATGCTTTACAGCTACCTCTGCAGTCCCATCGAGCAGTGGCTCCAGCAGCTTCACGTGAAAAATGAAGTTTGTCGTTCCTCCACTGAGAAGACGGGCAGACTCGAGGGAGTATGGCGTACCTGCCAACTCCGCCTTGACCTCACGAAGCACACGATCCGATGTGCTTTCGTCTGCCATCGCAATTATGGGATTTGCGGCCGAAGCTCAATAAGGGCAGTTTTGTCACCTGTCTAGGAAAGCGGGGATAGCTTGCGATATCTGCACCGGGTTGGAGAATGAGGGGGTGTGAAGTTTGCGTCACCCACGAGGTAGTTCAAGAAATTACTGGAATACTTTCGAGTAATAAACCAAGGAAACGACGGGCTTCATTCGAAAACCGCTGGGAACGCTCTTTCTCTTCGTTATCTCCCAACAAGTTGATTGGGGTGTCGCTTCCCCAGGACAGGTTGAATAACAGGGCAGCGGCAACCTGCAGCTAAAGGGCAGATGACTCACTCGGCGTGAAGTTTCAATCTCTTCCATCGCATCGCGAAACCCGTAGACCTCGAAAGATACTGTCAAATGAGAAACTAATCCAAGTCACCCACTTCCTAGATTGCTTTGCTGGCCGTCACGAACAATCAATCATTCGTCCAGAGTATCACAAAATGTATGGGTGTCCAGTACCGGCACTATGCCTTGCCTCATCCACCTTGAAAGACCATCTACCACAAATTCAAGTTGTTGCAATGAAGCATGCACCATACACCAAGCGCGGAAAGGGCAGTCCGATCATAGAATAGTCCAAAGTTCGGCCCTCAGCTCGGCTTGCTCGCTCACCGAGATGACCATCCCAGTGTCGATGGATATTTGAGTTCTTCGTTCTTTAATGGGCACACGAATTTGGGTCTTCGCGTCAGACGAGCTCCTATCCAAGCGAGAATTACAGACAAAGACCTAAGCCTCGCAATACTGAGGTCGAGGCCGACGCTCTCGATAACTTGTAACTATCACAGGACCTCGGCCTATAAGGGCGCCGCGCCTGACTAAAAATAAGGTAAGCTGTTCTGTGAGACATTTGATGTGATCCACCACTTACACCCACTGATAGGCCCGATGAAAGACGAAGTATACCAGGTCAAACAACGCCATCCACTACCAACGACCACGGCATGCTTACAACCATGGCTGATCATGTAAGCCTCTAATGGGTTCTCAACGACAAGGATGTTTTCATGCCTTTCTGGATGTAAACAGAGGCCATGGCGTTGCTGACCGCTGTGCTACGTCCGAGAGGTAGTCGAAACAAACCATTTTTCACGCTGAAAATGACTTCTGTGCAATTTGGAGGTAGGAGGAGATTGAAGATGGGCAGCGGGAGGAAGTGGAACAGCAGTAGTTTCCCTTGGCAGTGTAAGTAGATCAAACGACACATGCAACTCCAAACCCCAGTCTCTTGTCAAATGGCCTTTGACCTCTGCAGGTCAAAATTACAGTCTCACCAGAGCACATTGGTGGTTTTCGACTTGGCTTGAGACGGTCTGGAATATTATACCTAGTCTCTGTCGGGACAAGGATGACCCACTGGAAATTGGGTGGTTGGATAGTTCCAATTCGAGTTCAGCCACAGCAGCATAAAAGAGAATAAGCGGCCAACCACCGGGCCGCACCGGTCTTGGACACTAACATATGCCAGATCCTGATCTGACTGGGAGTTGAGCGCCACGGAAGAACGGTTCGATGAACCGTGAGCAAACATGCTTATCTGAGCACCTCACCGCTCTTCCCGATGGATTGATTCTGTGGGCGGCTCTGGAGAGGAATCAATGTGGCGGAGGTGTGCTCCGGAACAAGTTCGACTAGGAAAGAACACCCGCGAACAGCTCTGACAGCTCTTTACCGAGCGGATGGGACGTGGCATGGCGGGATATCAGGGTGATCCGTCTCGGAGCCGCGCTCATACAACGTGTAGTCTTGGCAGGGGACCGGGACTGCTTTGCGCGAGTTGAAAGGGCGGCAACTATTAAAGCTGGAACATGACGTTGATGCGTAGTGGATATGAGCGTATCTCTAGCTTGCTCGGATGAACTGAAAAGTGACGGACCGCATGTTGTGCATGGGCAATGGGCTTGTAAATAGAAGGGAGATAGAATGCAAGTAGACCACGGACGTACGTAGTATGACGCCTAAGCGCGCTCGGTTGACGAGGTTGAGGCCAAGTCTGGACGCCTAAGAAATAACGCGCTTCGGATCTTGTTTGAATTGAGAAAAGCATTGGGCGTAGTGTAATTACTGTTCTCCTATCCGTATCCAGCTAAGAAAGTTTGCAAGCGCCCTGCTTATCAAAGTGATTTGCTTGTGATATGCGGAGTACAAGGTACGGATAGCAGCGTCAGAATAAAGCCTAACGCAAAAATTCAGGAACGGAAAGAAATGGAGCCTTGGGGCACATGTTCGGACCGTCAGAAACCAAAGTGCTGGGGAAAGCAAAACGCAACAGTCGGGAGTTTGGTCTAGCAACACACATGGCACGAGGGAGTCGGGGAGTCAGGCATTGAGATGGGACGAGATTCTTCTATTTGGAACAGAAAGGCGACCCACATGGGAAACAGTGAATGGCCAATGCAGCCGAGCGATCCAGAACAGGTAGGGTAGAGCCGCAGAAGCGTTTGTAGTGAGACGGTGGTCGCGACCTACCCCTTTTCCTACTACCTATCCATTATCCAATGATTCAGGACATGCCTGACTTTTTCAACGTCTACTCCGTACCTACTCCGTAGTCCACTGCTGCTGTCTGGCGAATGGCTGGCAGGCGGGGACTGGGAGACTTGGAGTTGCATCCCAACCACTCGATCAAACAGCTTCGGGGGTGAAACGGGGCGGTGCTGGTCGCTCAGTGCTTCACCCACTTCTTGGCCCGCCACTATTACTTTAGCCATTGATGGCGATAAAAGTCGTACGTGCTTTCTAAGGTATTTGAGGGCGCCTGAGGCTCTGCAGTGTCTGTACCTAGGAGCCAAGTACAATACACCTGAATGTTCTTGATGCCTTCAGCCGACAAGCAGAAGGCTTACTGTACATATACAAGTAGGGCAAGAGACGGGAGTGAGGCATATGCAAGTATGTACCTTGTGTAAGTATTCCACGCTTTCCATGCAGCAAGTAGGTACTGCAGCAGGTACGCTCAAGCGCTCAGATGCGCCAATGACCATTTCCCTTGAATCCCCTCGACTCCCGACCACCTCTTCCCTGTCTCCCAAGCCTGTCACCTCTCAAAGGGCTGCTCTTGTTTCTTTGATTTCAGACACCGTCAACCACTCAAATGGGAGCTGGTGAGCTGACTTGGAGTCCTCTCCGCAGAACCCCTCACCAAGCCCCATGAGGCACTTTAGGAGATGTGGCCCAGAGCAATGCGCGCGTCTGCGACTCGCTGCGCTTCTTTCTGTTCTGCCCGTGGGGTCTTGACCAGTTATTGGTTTGATGATCCCCCTCGGGTGTACCTGAATTGAGCATTGATTACCTTAGATGGGTGTACATGATAGGTAGTCAAAACAGCAAGAGAAACGCAGTAAGCACAACGCAAGATACTTGTACCATCTACATCCAAAGTCCCCATATCTGCCCCTGGGACAAGAGGTACCTTACAAGTCACATTACAATATCATCTCGTCAACAATGCCAACCTGGTACCAATGGTCCAATGCCACTGCAATGCATTAAAGAAAAAGGGACTCCACAAACTAATTTTGTCCTCTCTGCGCCCATTCGCCCACCTTCAGATGGCGCCTCTGATCCCTCTCTCTCTCTCTCAAGCTTGATGCAATGCGCCCTGCTTCTTCTTTTCCTGCGACATCGCTGTGCCGATCAGCGCCCCTCCCCTCAAAGCTTAACTCTGACGGGCACCATTGCAATTATAATCACCACCAAGCTTGGCTTGGGGCCGAGACTTTTAATTCCAGACCTTGTTCGACTCGTCCAATGTCTCCGTAGCTATCCCGTCACTCGTCACCGCCATTGGAGCTCTTCCGGCATCGTCATTGTCAACTCACTCCCGTCTCCCGTACATCCCGTCAGGTCCTCTCCTCTTTCTCCTCTTTCACTCTCCAGTTTCGAAGCCGTACCATAGCTTCAGGTTCTTTCTCCACGCCTTGGCTACTCCATCGCATCTCGCCCCCGCTGAGTAAATACTCGGCACTTGACCTGTCGTCAATTCCACCACACTGTATCAGGCTTGCGGCTTGACTCCGTCACTCTTTTGAGAGGTATTTGACACGGCGCTACGGATACTTAGGGACTACATTACCTTACTGCGAAGCCCGTCGACCCTCACCGCATCTTGACATTCCAATTTTTTTTTTATTAAACACCATACCGCTCTACCCGACCCTCCCCCCCCCTCCACCCGTTACACAGCGCTCTTCATCCCTTTGCTGCCATCACTTGCCTCTCAAACTCGAGATTCGTCTCCTTTCCTTGGCATCCCAAGTTTCACCACTCAAATACCTGACCTCTCAACCCCCCCGGCACAAGACATCTACACACGACACGCCCGTGCGAAAGGAGTCAACGCTGAAGCTCCTCCTTCTCCTTCTCTGCTCCCCCCCTTTCCACAGCAACACTGCGCGCGCGACCCGTCTCGACCCGCCTTGCACACTCGTTTCTAACCATTTACCTTTGTGTCCAAACACATTTTCTGGTCCTTCTCTCGTTTTGCAAGGGCAGCAATCAGCATAAACAACGCCCCAGTCGGTCCCAGCAAAAATACAACGGCAATCGAGCAAGGGCACGATAATAGAGCCACCACCGACGCGCGACTCCCACTCGGTATATCCACTTCCAGCCACCTCGACTTCTTTTTGCCTCGTCCAACACCCGACTTGACCTTGCAGAAATCCTTTGGCTACCTTACCTACCGATACCTGGACTAATACCCGGAGACCCAACGCTGCCGGCACTGCCTGCTTTAGTCGCATCGCTTGTTCACCCACCGCCGCCGTTTTCTACAAGTCTCTCGTTCTTCGGCAACTTTACGTCTTTGCCCGTTCCGCCCACCGTCGTATCGTTCCCCGGACGGACTTTTTGCACGGGAATCTCTTTAATGTGCGACTTTACGCGACTGCCATCCTACTTTCACCCACAACCACGCGATACGAATTAATATCTTCATCATGACGACCATGGCCCAGTCGCAGATTCAGCTGCCTACGCCGCATCCGGCACCAAGCTTGGACGTCACCATCCCACCATCCTCGATATCTCTTCCCACCGATCCCAATTCTCGACTTCGAAGCCGCTTGGCCCTAGACACCTATTCGTCGCCCGTTAATCAAAACGGCAGCTTCGAGTTCGACCGTGTTGTGAAGAGCGGCTACCTGCAGAAGCGCACACAGAAGACAAAGGTTCGTAGGACCCGTATCCATTTACGCTTGAGGACCATTTCTGACCAATTGTGTAGACTTGGAAGTCAATTTACTTCGTCCTCCGACCCAATTCACTCTCAATCTACCGATCCGACAAGGAGGACAAGCTGCGACACAAGCTGTACCTCGCCGACTTAACCGCCGTTGCTTTGCTCAAGGACCCCAAAAACAAGAGAAAGAACGTGTTTGGACTCTTTTCGCCAGCGAGGAACTACCACTTTCAGGCTAGCAGTAGCCACGATGCAGAGGAATGGGTGGATTTGATTAGGAGTCATGCCCGTATTGAAGAGGAACATGATGAGCTGCTCCTTGCCAGCCCGAATGGCAAGCGGCAATCCTACCTTGTGGTTGGCAGATCCGCCCAGGCTGGAGACATGGCACGAACTGAAAGGCTTGGATCAAGCTCTCCTGAGCCGCTGGAACCTCCAGTGCCGCGCTTTGTTGGCTCAACCCATCGACGTCCATCGCAGATGGCGGATACCGCTGGGTACTCAGGCAACGAACTCGCCTCGCATTCGGACTTCTCAGACAACGAGATTCAAAGGATACAGGGCATGTCCATTGAAGACCTGGCGGTCCAGTTGCCGAGCAAAGGCACCCAGGACCGGCCAGGTCTTGACCGTAATGCGAGCCAACTTAGCGGTCTCAACATTGAGCAAGATCCGGATCGCGTCATCTGGCAGGGCTGGCTTTGGTTCCTCCGCAGCAAGGGCGGCGTGAAGCAATGGAAGAACCTTTGGGGTGTGCTCCGGCCGAGAAATTTTATTCTCTACAAGGACGAGTCCGAGTACACGGCGCAGTTCATTCGACCAATGTCGGCAATTGTTAATGTGGTTGACATTGACCCGGTCAGCAAGACCAAGAAGCACTGTCTGCAGCTCATTACGGAGGAAAAGAGCTACCGATTCTGCGCCCACGACGAAGAATCTTTGATTCATTGCCTTGGCGCATTCAAGAGCTTATTCGCCAAGAGACGAGAGCTCGAGACGCGGGGTCCTACAGGAGGAAACCAGCCCACTACAAATGCGGCATGAAGCTGCAAGTCATTACTAGGCAACCCACAGGAATTTCTTTTTTAGCGGGAGTTTTGCCACAGCCTTTTTTCTTTCTTTTGTTTACGAAGCATGACGCAACGATATTTATTTGGGACTCTACAGAGTCGAGGAGCCGGAGAGAAATGCTTGCTAATAGCTTTTGCTACTCAGCTGCAGCTACGGTCGAGTGTCGAGAAGACGACGACGACTCGGGCGCTGGTGCATTTCTTGGGAGAACGAGAGGGAAAAGGCCAGGCCACTCTTGGGAGAAAGAAGCCTATTAGCCAACCGCTTTGTTTTAGTATACCCTACCTTAGTGTGATACTATAGGCAGACTTTGACTGCTGGCCGTCTCAATATGAGGAGGCGGGTTACGAGTGACGATAATAATGAATCAATATTCTACTGCATTTCTGAGTTTGTCATTGTCGCTCAGTGATGCGAAGGCTTCTGTGCTTAGACCGGCCAGTGTTGCACAGACGAAAGCCCCCTGAACGACAGGAATGTCAAGAAATGATCATTCTCATTAGGTCACTGGCAAGTCATTGATTGCCTCTTGTGACACAGGATCTAGCAGACTCCCACGGCAAACCAGACCAGGCAGGTGTTATTGACTTGATGACCGCTTTGGCCGAACTTGACCAATAGCGCTGAAGATATTATTTCTCCAACTTTTGGAGGTGGGAGGGCTTTGGTACTAAGAATTATGAGAGGGAACTCAGGAAGGGGGGGACGCGAAGAAAAAAACGGTGTGGCGAATGAGAGTGGCGCAAACAGCTCAGACCTCTGTTAGTGTTGTCCAGCTCCAGCCCCGGTCGGGTGACGTGGACCCTCTTTTATCGGACGGTCCTATGGCGCCGCGTCCCGGCCACACCAACCTCACCTCCGCCGCCGGTTCCTTTTCAGTCTACGGGCCTTCTGCGCGTTTGAATACCACCCACACTTTTCCTCTGCATACCTAGTAAGCTCTCGCCTCTGAGCTTTCCCCTTGGCTCTTTGGACGACACCCCGAGAGACCTTGACCTTAACCTTGTGAAATGCCTGCATGGCAAATGCCGTTCCTGGCCGAGACAGGCGAATCACACGCCGCAACGGCCATGCGTCCAGCAACGGCTTACCCCTGTCTATGGCGGGGGGGACCTGACGAAGAGAAAGAGGTCTCGGTACGCTTCTTCTCTGCTGTTGGCTCTGTGACGGTTTGGATCAACAACTTAGGGCACTGCTTTGAGAGTAGTTAAGTGTTGGTTGTTTGCGGTCGAGTATAGGCGTGTTCATGGGTTGTTTGGCTCTCCGGCTGCTTTATCTTTTCCTATAGTGGCGGACGGGATACAACCCTGTCGTGAGGAGAGCATGGGCTCGGTATACTGCGCCGACTCTATTCGTCCGAAGTTCTACACCTTTTGAGAAGCGCTTTTGACAGATGTGATTGATCGATGCTCCGTATGGATGGAACCTCTCCAGATGGAGGCCCCCATCTTCTAGGGAGGCGACTTCTTCTCTACTCGCACTTCCGTTTGGGCGGCCTGAGCATTTACGAGCAATGATATATAGGGTAGGTCGGTTAAGGGTCTCGTGCTATTACATCGGCGTTGTTTTTGAATGACTTTCTCTCGATCTTTCGCCCACACCTTTCTCTGCGAGCAGGGCGAGCACTTTCTCTGCCCGAAGGGTTGTATCGCTGGTTTCTGTTGGACCTGCAGGTAGTCAGTCGCCCTTCTGTCTCTTGGGGGGCCCCCTCAGCTGCTCTCCTTCAAGGTTCCATTAGGACGTCCTCGTGGACTATTTCGGCACTTTCTGCGTCCTTGATCTGGCAGATCAGGATGCTTCATACCTGATCGACGTTTGCCCCGCGCGTATTATATTACTTCTTTTCTTCTGCTTCTCGGCTACTTATTAGCACTAAGAGTCGACCATCCGTAGGCTGTCTGACTTGGCGACGCTTTCAAAGACCAGAGCTTTGTCTAGTATCTCTATATCGACACACGATCGTAGTGATCTGGGGGAATAAAACAGCTCGTAGGGCGATATCACAACAACGCGATAGTAAAAGTACCGTCTTGATATCAACAATATCAGAAAAAAACGCCAACAATGAGGCTCGTCCCTATCCTCTGGGCCGCCTGGTCCATCATCCTACCCGTCCTTGCCCAAAAGCCGCAACTCCCCCTCTTCTCAACATCTCGCTGGATAACAGACTCGTCCAACGCCCGCGTCAAACTCCGCTGCATCAACTGGGCCGGCCATATGGAGGTCAACCTCCCTGAGGGTCTCCACAAGCAGCCGATAGAGTACCTGGCCGACTGGATCAAGCAGCAAGGCTTCAACTGCGTGCGCCTCACCTTCTCGACAGACCACGCCACGAACCCGGGCATCACCGTCCGCGACTCCTTCGTCAACGGCGCCAAAGCAGCCGGCGTGCCCGAGGCCGACCTGCTCAAGCTGTACGACCAGGCCCTAGTCCAAAACCCGTTCCTCGCCGACGGCAACATAACGCAGCGCGACGTCTTTGGCAAAGTCATCGACGTCCTCTGGGAGCGCGACATCATGACCATCCTCGACAACCACGTCAGCAAAGCCTCCTGGTGCTGCAACCTCGACGACGGCAACGGCTGGTGGAAAGACGCGCGGTTCTACTGGGCCGCCAACTCGCGCTACTTTGACACGGACGACTGGCTCGCGGGCCTGCAGCAAATGAGCCTCTGGGCCAAGACCAGACCGGGCGTCGCGGCGATCTCCATCCGCAACGAGTTGCGCGCCACCTGGACGCAGATTCCCTTTGCCGCGGATCAGTGGTACGGCTACGTGACGCGCGGGGCTAAAGTCGTCCACGAGGCAAATCCGGACGTGCTCGTCATCATCGGGGGGCTCAACTCGGCCACGGACTTTTCCCCGCTACGGACGAAGAACCTCGATACAAGCGCGTGGAAGGGGAAGAACGCGTGGGAGGCGCATAGCTACAGCTTCACGGTGACGACGCCAAATTTCGGAGACTGCAATGTTGAAAAGGCAGAGTACGGCGCCCTGTTCGGCTTCGTGCTGGAGCAGGGTAAAGGGTACACCGGTCCGCTGTTCATGTCCGAGTTTGGGGCCGCCATGCAGGGCGGGAGCGAGGACGGGCTGTCGGCCGAGGAGCACGCGTACCTGACTTGCCTTGTGGGCTATCTCGAGGACAATGACGCGGATTGGGCGTTGTGGGCGATTCAGGGGTCGTATTATGTGCGGAACAAGGCGGTTGATTTCGACGAGACGTGGGGTGCCATGGATCACGAGTGGAAAGATTGGAGGAATGGCAAGTTCAAGGGGCTCTTGGGGAACATTTTTGCCGTTACTCAGGGGCCTTAGCATGGCTGCTGGGAGGGTGAGAATGTGGAATTATGCGAGATGTCAGTTTTCGGGTTCGGGATGATGTATGTAGATCTTGCTCGGATGATGGACAGAGATAGTTTACCACTTTAAAATTAATGTTGAGGACCGGCCCCCTTTCGTGTTGTGGCGAGGACATTCTGTGCCACCAGGCAT